TCCACATCGACCTTGAGCGACAGGAATGTCCTGTCAGCATTTCTGCATTATACGCATAGAGTCCTTAAACCGACATTATTGTAAAGGCAAAATCTCTGCAGCTGTCTGAGCCGTGCTGATGTTGTACTCCGTGTATTCTTTATTTTATTTTTCCTTCGCCGAGGTACACGTGTCAAACTAATTTCACATTTTGTTGCCTTTTATTCGTTGGCGCATTTGTGTCACCTGCCGAGGTGCACCACGCCCCTCCCATCCCATCCCGCACCATCACATTCCGCCCCCACAATGCGCGCCAACAGCATTGAAATTCATAAAATATTTGCACAGCGAAATAGGCTACGAAGGCTGAGGCTTCGGGCGGAGTATTATGTGTCAAGCACGTTTGAATTCAAATTCAAATATTTGCCAGAGTCGACAAACAAATAAGCGCAAATATGGTAAACAGCAATAAGCAGCAGAATGGCAAAAGCTGAGCGGGCTGAAGCGAACTCGTGTACGCCGGATTTGAGTCCTTCTGTGGGGGCTTCTTATACCTGTTCATGCAAAAATCTTTAGCACCCGAATATAATGCTGTCACCTTGGCAGTCATCTGAGCTGTTTGTTGTCTCAACCTAGCTCAGTCTTAATTTCAAACACATTCGTAAATATTCAATGGTCGACCAGAAAGCTCTTCATGTGTAAAGTCAACAGAAAAAAAATCGGCTTTAAAGATCGACTTGTTCTTGGCCTCCAAGGACAATGATGGAAACAATGGCCTGACAATTCATAAGTTCACTAATCCTGTCTGCGACTTTTCCTTGTACTTCAAAATCAATTAAAGTATACAAGCTAATAAGTTATGAACAGAAAGCTGGGCAATAATTAGCTTATCACTGCAAAAAATAAACCACTAACTTGTATATCACCTATTATTTCCAATATTTAGAAAAAGTTAAAGCACACATTTATTTCTGGAATATTTTTAAATTTACGATATCCTATCCTGCGATAATCCAATCTTAAGCCTCTTTAAGAAAATGGGAACAAATGGGTCTGAGAAAGGGACAATGGAGCTACGACTTGTCAATGAATCGATTATGATTTGTGGCGAAAGTATAGCATACTTATATGCGCTGCCTACACAACTTTCTGGTTCGAATATATTTCAGCGCAAATTTGCACATTCGCAGTGCCAAAGAATGCGCCGAGGGACAATAAATCTTCGATTGTTTGTCCCAAAGAGACCAAAGGATGTGTCCTTGTGTGGGTGTCTCTGGATGTGAGCCTGGGGCAAGGGATTGCCCACTGCCGCCATTCGTTTTGGCCATTTCGCCAGTTCGCCATTTTGCGTTTCGCTCGCCACATTTGCTGGCCTAATTGCGCCGTTTGCCAACCAGCCAGCGAAATAAAAAGTAAAAAGCGAAAAGCGAAAAGGAAAACGCAGACACAGAGCTGTCATTACACTTCAAATCCCCACACAGTCCTTAGTACTCTGATAATTGTCCCAGTGACCTTTCGAAGCCGAATATGGCATCGAATAACAAGTGAATTTCCAGTTGATATCAATGAACTCCGTTCCCCAGCCCGTTTAACCTTGCCAATTATAGTGAAAAATAGAGCCAAACATTCCCACGTCTGCGATGGGCGAGAAAAATAAGCGAATTCGGCAATAAATAGCTATAGCCATGGAGAAAATATATTTTTAGTTGTCTCGGTCACTGCGAGGTCCTGTCCGATTTGGAGCTCCAAGAGCGGAGACTGCAGGCGACTTCGACTTGCTGCCAAGACAAGATAAATGATGTTTCCAAACTAACACACACGTACAGCCGTGGCAAACATAATAGTGCAGAGTATTTATTTATTTATTTTCCTTTTCTCTGTTACATGTTGTTCAACTTATGATAACTCACTTTTATACTTTCTACTATCTACAATATTTATTGAACATAAAACTTTGAAATAAGATATAAATTTAGTAAATGAATTGGTCACTTGATTGCATATTAACTCTATGAATGGTCCTAAGCAAGGCTTTATAAACGACTAATTTTTCTTTAGTTTTTATCTTATTGTTTTGACCCCAACTGTTCGTTTTGTTATCACTTAGCTGGCCATGTTAGCTGCCATCTCAGTGACTTTTTGCAATTGTCTGGCCAGGGATTGTCAGGACTTTTGACTTCTCGCTGTCCATGCTATTTTCGCTGACCCCTCTTATCTCTCTGCCCATCCTTCATCTCTCATAATGATTGTGTTGTGAAAAATGCAATTATTTTTGATTGTAGTTTAAGGTGCCATGTTTGCATTGCACGCCAAATGCCGCACATTTATCACACTTGCTCGCCCCTGAAATGGGGACATTTTTGCAAGTCAACGCAGAGAAAGCGACATGGAATTTATTGAGCCTGTCTGGGGCCATATATCAGGCGCAGCATTTGTCAGGGAGTGCCAATGGCTCTAAACCGAATTGAACTTTGTTCTTATTGATTTTACAGCAGAAGTACAGCAGCCATCTCGTTCTCGTTCTCTGTTTCCAGTTTTGTGTGTGATGCGTGTTGTAATTTTGGCAATTTTAATGCCATTAAAAGCAGCCTAGCCCCAAAAAGTTGCAAATGATGTGCGAAGGATGGAAATGTGGCGAGTATTGTTCGTATTTATGCAATTTGTGGCAGCTGCTCGAACAACCGCAGCTACAAGACTCATGTAGAGCCCTCGCACCCCCCTCCCCCCCACGGAACCAGAACACAAACAACCACAACAACAGCAATTACAACAGGAGTGGTATGGAATTTTCAATTAAATTGCAAAATCAATTTTCAGCAAATTAGCATATTTATATTTGCATATTTTTAATGGGCTGACGAAAAAGGTGCGCAGGTCACAACAGGTGCGAAAAGGGAAATTGTGCCAAATTAAAATCAGATAACACGGAATGACTTACATTAGAGGAGCACATATGAGTCACCTAAGGTTGGGGTTCAGTCGTCACCAGCATCTGTGCCAGAGGCGCGTGTCTGATGTTCAGAAATCCGCATCAGAGTTGCGTATGTATATATAAAACCAGAGTTATCCCAGCCATGAGCCACACCTACTTCCCGAAAAACTCAAAGTCAGCAGTCCTTGGGCACTTAGTAATGCCACTGCCTATGGCATATCATAACCATATAGACGCCGCTCCCGAGGAAAGTATTTCGATAATTACATTTAGCAACTGCTGTCTTCCCAACGGGCGAATTATTCCGATTGGGGAGCTCGATTAGTATCCTTACCTTAGATATAAACAGCATAATTCCACATTCGCAGAATCAAAATTACTCACTTAAGTCCTTCATTAAAATCCATTCCAAGAATCAAAATTACTAATTTGAATCCGACATTAAAAAGCATTCTAGGAACTAAAATATACAAAACTGTCATCGCCCTTGACTAAAATATTAATTTAAAAGAAATTGTTTCTCCTTAAATTTGATATTTGTAAACACATTTAAAATTAAACAAAAAAAATATAGTTAAAATTAAACATTTCAATTGGAGAGTAGTTAATATTATTAAAGATATAATTTCTAAGATTTCTTCTAAAACTTCTGCACCGCCCCAGTTAAGCAACTTCTATTCGCATATACATTTTAATTTATTTATACACGTTTTTACCCCCAAACGGTGATATGGTTTCCCCAACTCATGCACATGTGTGGCCACAATTTCGGTATACAAATTACAAAATTATACAAATCAACGCCGCACAATTGCTTCAATTGAACCCAGGCCAGAGGCCTTAGCTGCTTTAAGTGCCCGAACTGGTGTTTCTCACATGTATACCCCACGAATCCCGAGTTTCTGGCGATGATGGTGTGGCTGGCAGAGATTAGAGTCTCTTCAGACGAACAATCAAAGACAAAGCGCCCTCGACACCTGTGCAGAATTATGGAGCCCACTCGCAGACAGAAACTCGCGGTTGGATCAACTGCAGGGGGTGTTTGGGTGGTTGGGTGGTTGAGTGTTGGATTGTGGGTGGCAAGGGCGAGGCAATTAAGTCATTACTTCAAACAAACACACATACTGATATTGCCGCCAAAGGCGTTCTTTCTGCAGGTGTTTTACAAGTGTGCAAACAAAGTGCCACGGTGGTTGCATAAAAGCCAGTAAAGCGGATGTAAGAGTCTGCCGTCGTATGCGTGTTTGTACATTTCCCCGTTTTGTTTGCCATCGCGCCTGTCTTCCCAACTCCGCATTTCGTTGTGGTTGCAATAAAGGCATGCAAATTTATGTGCGCCCTCGCCTGCCACGCCCCTTGCCATATTTTTGATAAGCAATTTTCATCGCCCCCACGAGAGTATGAGTTGTGAGTCGAGTGTGTGTGTGTGTGTGTGCATGGGTGGTGGTGAAATGAAATTAACAAATCATTTCACTTATGGGCACTGGGGCATCTGCTTCCACTTAGCTCCGGCATCACTTTGATGCTAATTTGAATGGGAAATGTGTCATTTCGGGTGATTACAAGAGGATCTTATCAGGACGCAAACAGTCTCAGTTGGGAAAGAGAAATTGAAACATTTTTCATAAAACTCAGATTGACAAACTCTCTAGATGCAAACACAAAATTCACGATTATAAAAAGATATATGGAGATGTCTATGCAGCAAATAACAAATTAATTGAAATAAAGGTGTTTTTAGAACTAAAGCTGATTTTGCCATCATACCACTTAAACAACTACAATTTATTTCCAGGCCACACACAATAAAAAACAACTGCTGAAAATTTAGGGAGCATCAACAATCTTTAGATCTGGGACAAAAGTTTTGCCTATTTGGAAACTATTGTAAATTTGAAATGCTGCTTGCGAGAAAAATACTTTCTCATTACTTGAATTTTTATTATGTTACGTACGCAATATGATTAAAAACTTTAAGCTTTTCAAGGTGTAAGAATAAAAATGTTTATTGGATTTCGCCTGTCCGATAATGGCAATTAGTCAATTAAAAACCCGACCTCTTGGAGGGCACTTCATGGTCGTTTCAGTCATGGGACAAATGCCCGACGAACTACACACGGCTTCACTGTTTCGCATGCGTCGCGTGATGAAGTGCTTGGGAATGCTGCCGGTGTGGGAAAACCTGTTTGCCAAAGTGTTTTGCAATGTGGTCCTTTGTGTTGCAGTTGGCTTTTCAAGCTACGGACGCTTCAGCTTTGATTACGACTTTGACTACGATTTCCTGAATGATCACTTTTCCAGCAGCATGGATCTGACCAACTTTACGGCCCTGATTGCGATTCATGTGATCGTCGTAATGGAGCTTCTATGGGGATATAGCTGCAAGGATGTCGATGGGCAACTGCAGGCGATTCAATTCGCGATTAATGTACACCTGGGCACTCCGGCTAGTCTGGATCGGGTTCGTGGCTACTGCAATGCCATTTACGGATCCCTATTCATTCGAAGTCTGATTTTTATCCTAATGACGGCGTACAACAATCGCGCTTTAACCTATTATGCCTTATATTCGGAATTAGTTTTGCTGGCCAGATTCTCCGAGTTCACTCATTACTGTGCCGTGATTTATTTCCTGTACCAGGAGCTTCTCCTTGGAGCTTCAAATGTCCTGGAAGAGTTGCAGCGAACGCGATTCGAGCTGTGGTCCATACGCCGCTTGTCGCTGGAAAAGTTGTCAAAGTTGCAACGAATCCATGGACAATTGTGGCAATCCATCCGTTGTCTGGAGCAATATTTCCGACTAAGTCTGATCACCCTGCTCCTGAAGTTCTTTGTAGACTCCTCGGCTTTGCCCTACTGGCTTTATCTCGGCCAAGTGCAGCACACAGCAGTGTCCATCCAATATTGTTAGTAATCACATAACCAAATTTATTGCTTATTTTTACTCTACACAAACTGTTTTTAAAAAAATAAAAATAATTTTGAACCTCAAATTGAATATTTAAGGTTTTAAATTCAAGTTAAAATAAATTTTTATATATATTATTAATAAGAAAACACTTCAAAATGTTACACATATTTTTCTCGCAGATGTCTGCTGCGAAGAGTGCATCAAACTATTGGAAATTGTAGTGCCCTGCTGGATTTGCATGCGCTGCGATGTAATGCAGCGAAAGTTGCGCTCTATATTCTACACAATAACCACGGATCGACGTAATAGCCAACTGAATCTGGCTCTTAGGAAACTTTGCCTGCAATTGAGTCAGGAGAGATTTCAATTTAGTGCAGGAGGACTGGTGGAAATCACCACAGAAATGCTGGGAAAGGTAAGTTAAATTAATTGAGTCAATACAAGAGTAAAATTTACTCTATTTTAATATAGTTCGTATTCGGAATGATCAGCTATATTGTGATCTGCATTCAATTTAGCATCAGCATGAGGGCGAGCAACGCCAACAAACTGGCACAAAGTACCACACCCAGTGGCCCCATTTAAGTGCCCTTCTAAATCGATATTTGTTGGGCAGTCTAGTCGCGTGCTTATTAAATTAAAGTCAATTAACCTAATTAGCAAATTTGATGTCTGCCCGTGCATAATCAAAAAAGGACAACGGGCAATCAAGGCAGCAGCAAGCAACAGCAGCTGGCAGAACGTCTTCTTCACATAATTATTCATGCTTAAAAATTCTATTAAAAACTTTTGCCAACGGCCACTGACCGTTCACGTAGGACTAAGGGAGGTCCATGTTTTGGATTTGTTTGCCATGCTTGGCCAATCTGTCAGGGGTCCATGTGTGTATATGGAGTACACTTTAAAAGTATACACAGTAAATCCTTGAAGACTAACAACCAATCTTCTGGGTCTTTAACTTCAAACCACATATAAAGATGTTTAAGTAAAATATCAGAAGTGTAACTGCAACCTCAAACATCAATTAATTTATTCTTGCATACTTTTTTCCACAATTAATTTTGTAATATTATTTATTTGTAAACATAGAACCCGTACAATCTTTAAGTACCTTAAACCACATTTAATACAAATTATAATTGACTTGTTTAAAAGCTTAGATTGTAAAGTACTTAGTATACTTATTGTTAATTGCAATTTAAAAATGTTACTATTTTACAAATGACTCAAGTTTGTTGCTGAGTATTTTCAGAGTGTAAAGATGTAAGTATTCTTGAAGTTTGCCCCTCTGGCCATTGTTGCCACGCACAGATTCGTGGGCAAGTGAGCATGCATAATACTCCGACTTTCTTCATATATCCGCACGAGTAGGCCTGAGTTGAAGCCTAGGCCAATCTACAAAGGTTGATGATAAATCGAATTGAATCGAGTGGGTGTGCATGTGGGAAGATGTCGAGTCGAACAAAATCGTGTCTCGGTCATGCGGCAAATCTCGAATTTGTAGGGCACTTCATTAATCAAGATGAACTTTTCATTTCGACCTGTTTTAAAATTCCGCAGAAGGAAATCCATCGACCAAGTGTAGGATCCAATAAAGTGCAACTGTTTGCTGTCATATGCGACATGAAAATGCTCTTCGTTATTGACTAAGGCTCCTAACAAGCTCTCTGTCGTTTGTCAAAAGCAAGCAAATTTCTGAACCGGCCTTAAAATGTTCTGTCTTTGACACTGGGATTTATTTAAACACTGCGGAAAATATAAGTTTCAAAATAGAAACACAAATTTTTTTCCTCTGACTTTAAAATAACAAATTAAATTTTTGTCATACAATTTCATTGATGTATATTAACTTGTTTAACTCTTTTTAAAGAAACTTAAATTTATAGCAACACATTCTGTTTAAAATATTCATGATAAGAATTGAATAACCTACTTTGATAATTCATTAAAAGTCTTTTTCCCCTCTGTGCATTCTAAGTGTCAACGTGAGAGAGAATGCAAAGTCATTTGGGATTTTCATTTCACCCATCGACGTTAGCTTAAAGAAGCCGGCTGCAGCTGCAATGGCTTATACCCACCTGAAAACGTTTTTGTTCCCCAACTCGGTCGGGTATTTTTCCTTCTCGACGTTCAGCTTATGTGTTGACACTAATTAATACTCAGGAGTTTGCACTTGAAGCCCCGATCTGAGTGGAATTCGAATGGCAAATGTTCGTGAGCGGTTGCCGCAACACTTTTGCAGACCCAATGGCAAATAATAAAAGGCAACTCATAATCGTCTCATAAAAATCAGATGTGCTCACGCACATTAATGCATATAGACGCCAATGCACTATGGGGAATTTGCCCGATTTTTTGGAATAAATTAATAACTCGCGAACTATGTAACATATTTCAGTGAGGTTTTTTTTATAGTGTTCTACATACCTATACACACCTGTTGGAAAAGTGAAAGTATACCAAAATTTTTTTTTTTTTTTAATACAAATTTAGCTCTATATGCTCTTAATTTCCAATTTCAATGTTGTACAAAAAATCATAGTCGTTTTCTTCTTCATAATTATCAACATCTAAAGACTCGTCTCCAGGTTCATATTCGCATAATAACAATTAAATGACTTCTGGTGGAAGAGCAAGCAGCTTATGTTTTCGGACGCGCTTCTTCAAATGATCAAAAGATTGGTTTCTAAAAAATTAAATTACGCGAAAAGTCGCACGAAGCGCACGATGAGACAATATGTTCTGAGTTCGGAATTAATGACTCTACAACATGGATATAGACACTTACTGAACAAAGTTGAACATTTTTTAAAACTCTATTGAAAGTTTAACTTTCTTTCCAAAACCCAAACGAAAACATCACCTGCTACATTTACAAATTGTTAAAATTGGACGCACATATTAAGCAATATATAAGTATTTTTACACAGAACATACCTTAAGAATTGGAAATCATTTCAAATTTGACTGTCTTACGTTATTTTGTTGCAGAGATAATGATTTGAAAGTGAGCTTCAAAGTTAAGCAAAATGTAAACAAACCATGTGCGCTTGCAACAGCTGACTTTAACAGTTGGTATTTAAATACTAGACTTTTAAGTTAACATTTGCGGTATGTTACCAAACAGCTTGATGTTTTCCTAATACATTAAAACAAAAAAATTGAAAATCGGCATACTTTTAAAAAATACATTTATTCCAAAAAATCGGGCAAATTCCCCATAGTGCAATGGCAGTACCCAGTGCTATGAGTTCTTTGACATAGACAATGGCGACAATGACCGTGCTATTACCACGTTTATGTGTTGAATTTCCAAAAATTATGATTGCGTAAATTCATTTGTGACATATTAAACTATAAAAACTGGTATAATTGCTATCCGAATTAATTAAGCTCCTTTATTGCAGCTACACAAATTATTAAGTTAAGAGTTGTTACATCAAAGACAATTAATTTTATATTGTCTCCTGTTAAGTATTTAATGTTTTAGGTCAATTCATCAGAACTCAAGATTTGTTAAAATTTGCTTTGGTTCTTAACTAATTGTTACTTTAAGTTTATTAAGTTTTACAAAATAAAGGAAGTTGAGTTACAAAATAAAGGAGTCCTGTTATTATATAAAGTTTCAGGTCAATTTCATCACAACTTAAGATTTCTTAAAATTTGATTTAGCTTACAGTTGCCATTTAGTTTTTTTGGTACTTTGTTGAGTTGATTGTGCTCTAATTATTCGGGTAAGGGCCGTACCTACTTGGTTGCACTTAATAATTTCATTAAGACTGTAGAAATATTATGAACAAGCTCCGCATAAACGCAGTATGTATATGCTTCTTGGCAGTGACAGACATTTGAGTGGAAACACAACCAAAACACACACTTTCGCACACTTGCCGGAGGGACTTTTATAGGGACACGTAGTCAGGCACGTTTTGAAGTGCAGGAAGCTCTATCATAGACAGAAACGAGCAGCTCTGTGTGCGTGTGTGTGTAGTTATTACTTTTATGAAGCATGTGATTACATTTTATTTTTAATGCTTTTAGTAAAATGAGGTTAGTACACACTTGGTTAGCGACAAATTACATTATTTTTTTTTTCTCTCTCTATGCCATCCTGCCTTTGCAGGATGCGAGTTTTCGTTCGTTTTTGGCCTGGATTTTGTAATCTTTGCCAGCGACAATATTTGCAATCGCTAATTGTTGTTGTCATTGGACGGCGGCAGAGTGCTTAAACCATCAAGCATTGTCTGCATTAAACATGTGCACAATTAACTTCCGCTTCCGGTTATGATTGAACCCGGCCATATTTGAGCCGGGCACGGACACACAGGACGATAAGCCAGGCAATAAACACACGCACACTCACGGACCGTAATGTGTAATGTGTAGTGTGTAGTGTGCAATGTGCGGTGGCTGCAGTTAACTGTTTGCATATTAACGACAAATAACCCACAATCTCGCAACCTTGCAGCAGTATTATGCATCGATGGGCGAGCACGCTGAGTGAGCGATAAGCACTAGATAATATTCTTGTCCTGCCAATGCATAGGATCCCATTATAGTTCGCCAGCACAGCTTTAATTTAAGGCAGCAAAAACATTATTGCACATGTTTGCACACTGGACCTGTTGTTGCAGGACTGGGTAAGGGTTAAGCGTTAAAGGTGAAGGGTCAGCAGGTTTGCATAGCGACTGCGGTTGCAGCTGCCGGACATTTGCCAAAACATTTGGGACCAAAACAGCTAAGGCTACGATCGACGATATTTCAATTAACTAGAATAAGACAAAATTTAGTAACCAAGATTAACACGGCCTTGAAATTAAAAAAAAAAATTTATATAGTCAAATGCAGCTAAATACCTGTTTAAATTTAAATTATATTGACTAAATTCTAAATTAACATTTATACTTAACTTAACATTATTTTTTTCGAATATTTAAACATTTAATTTAAATTTAAAACAACTTTTTAACGTTACGTAATGGTCTTTGGGCATTTAAAAAAAGTCCAAAGTATATAAAAAAAATCCTTTTTCAGATTTAAATTGTAATTTGTAATATGGTCGTATTCAGTACAAGTATTATAAACAAACAGGCGTTTTTTCTATGCCTTTGACATTAGCAAAGCACGTACGAATATCCATAAAAGTCATTAAAATTCAGCGAAAAAACCTACCAATGATAATGATATCGAAGTCAAAAAAACAAATTAAAATTCAACAGATGGTCAAGTGGATATTAGTTTACCCTGCGGCGGACCTATCACAATCCCTTTTCCCCAGTAAATACAACGAAAAAAAAAAACGCATTATGCAAACTTTCCATAATCAGTTGATTCGTTGAATGAGCTGTAATTAAAACAATAATCTAGCCAATGCCCCAGGCGAAACTGACTGAACCAGGTCAACCAGCGAATTGGCTGAAGTGATTTGGCATATTTATGGTCTATGTGTATGTACATTCGAGAGTTCTCCATAGGCAGCTGCCATTTCACTTTTGAGCCCTGCTGCCTGTGCCGGCTCTCAAAAAGTCTTCGAAGCCCGGATCCGGCTCAGTTTCCTGCCTCCTCCATTGGACTCCTGCCAACCG